GTGTGTGTGTGTGTGTGTGTGTGTGTGTGTGTGTGTGTGTGTGTGTGGTGTGTCTGTCTGTCTGTCTGTCTGTCTGTGTCTTTTGCAGGGCCATGCCTCCCATAGTCTTCTTCCTATTTATTTCTACACTTCCCACAACTCTCCTAACCAGTCTTTCTGATCTAATAGCTTCTGATTCTTCCTTTGTGTTAGTCCCCTGTGTTTATTTCATATTTACTGGTGCTTACTGGGTCTTTAGGCACTCGTCTTTTTGCTGATGTGTTTAGCATACTAAAGAGGTTTTCCGAATTATCATTTAAAGAAATGTAATTAAAACCATGACATATACTTATATTTAGCCTCTCTTTTTCAGATACATTTTTCCAACTTTTTGTCTTCCCGTATTTTCCCAGGTATGCTGGACCAATGGAAAGATTGCAGGCAGAGACTGAACTCATTAACAGGGTGAATAGTACTTACCTTGTGAGGCACAGGACCAAGGAGTCTGGAGAATATGCAATTAGCATTAAGTAAGTAGGACAAGTGCTTTTGTAGAAATAGATTTCCTGTGTTCATAGTGGTGTAGGTCATGTGACACATGCAACCCTGAAGTTGAAAACCAAGGTTCTAATTGCAGTAGAAATAATGCAATTATCTCGACAGTTCTTTCATACTAGAAAATATCTGTGAGGAAAACAGTAATGGGTGTTATAGGCTGCTAATTGGCATAATAGATTTCTTTCATAGCATTATAATTTTTTGATTTGATGTACATGTATTTGTAGTAAATTCTAAGAATACAAATGGTTAGGTTTTTTCTTTTTTTGTACCCTCAAAGTGCACTTACTAAGTAAGCACAATGATTAGTCAAATCCAAATCTTCTCTCACTTCAGATATTGGTTGTATCTTCAACCCACCTAGTAAATACAGTTTGTTAATTAGCTGTCACCATTGTATTGGCATGAGTATATATTTTGTCTTCAGAATTAATTCCTATAACGTTATTGGGGCATGCCCTCTGGTAATTATTGATTTCTACTGATTAAAAACACATTTATATTCATAAGTTATTCATTGCCCACAGGTACAATAATGAAGCAAAACACATCAAGATTTTAACAAGAGATGGCTTTTTTCACATTGCAGAAAATAGAAAATTTAAAAGCTTAATGGTAAATATTGATTATTTCTTTTCAATCCGTGATTCCCCCTTTCTGCTGTTAAATCAGTTTAACTCTATAGTTTCTTAGCAATGTTGCCTATTGAAAATTATCTAAAGAGAATAATAGTGTAAGCTTTAGCAAACTCCTAACTTTCTATGTTGAAGAATGCCAATGATGCTTTACGTTGCTCATTTAAATGAGGTTTATAAGTTTTAGATAATATTTTAGAGTCTATGTTACTTATGGCTCTTAAAGCAATGGCCAGCTGAAGTATAGGTGTTTGTATAGGTGTTTGAGTGTGTTCTCTCAGTGACAAATGATAAACCTCAAATCATTGCTATGTCATTCCTCTTCTTATGCCCCCTGTCTCTTCATTCAGCTACTTTGTGTCATTATAAATTATGGGACAGAAAAGTTCTTACATTTAGGTGTATTTCATACAAAATGTAATATAAAGTCAATTTGAAATTTGTTTATATTTTCTGCTATTATAAATTGTCTGTGTAATGGTAGTCCTCATTCATTACATTAGATAAGCATTAGTAAGTTTATATTTTTGCCACATACAACAGTTGATATTACATAGAAATTTTATTTTGAAATGGAAACCATATATGGTACCTAGAATGTGTTTATTAATTCTTACAATTTATAAAAATCTAAATCATTTTATTTGTAGGTATGGTATGTGTATGTCATATAGATCATACATATATATCATTATACACACACTGCCACCAGTAAAGAAATCTTATTTTCTTAAAAGTGGCTACAAATCTGTTTTTTCCTACTAAGGTAGTCTCTTACACTAATGAAGAATTTAGATAAACGACACGGGATACATTTGTAGTTGCTAAGATCTTTGATTAGCTTTGAGAGAGAAGGCTCATTGCTATAGCTATCAGCCAAATGATATATACCACACCTTTCAGGAATACAAATGAGTCAAAATGGGGCATAAGAAGGCTTACAAACTCAGCCAGCTTGAATGCCTTACTTAAGGATCATTTCAAGATAGAGATCAGTGCTTTCGAGAAATCGAAACATCTTGAGCTGAGAGAAGAGGAAATAGGAGGAAATCTATAGACATAAACGGCACGTTTGAAATTCAGAAGCAAAGGACAGGCAACATGGCCATGCCTTAAAAAAACGGAAACTCTTGTCAAATTGGTAACTAAGATGGAGGCATCGTCTCTGCTGGAGGTAACGTACATCTGTTGTACCCATCAGGCTGTGAGAGAGAGCAGAGAGCGAGCTTGACTGGAAGAGGTTCTTTATATAGTGAAAGCCTAGAGAGGATGTGGCCAGTTGGTGCACAGGGGATGAGTGACAGACGCAGCCCGACATGATGAAAGCATGCGCGGAAACTCCACAGCTCTGCAAGACATGCCTGCAGAGCTTCTTTGGGTGATAATGAGGCTTCTTCACGGTGTTGCAGTTTAGATGACACTTACGAAATGCCGCGGGGCCAATGATGACTGCTAGCTCTCCAGACTTTAAAAGTAGCAAAGGGAGCTCCCATCAGAGAAGACACGCAAGAAGGATGAAAGGAACGGCCATTGGAGGGGGTCAATCCGTTCCGCTCTGCGTCACTTGGTTCAGCCCAAGGAAGTCCTTTAGCAGGGAATGTTAGAGATGATGAAAGCCAGAGCCACTATCATCAGCTGTAGATCTTATAAGGCCATGATTATACTAAAGTGAACGGACACTCCATTTTAAATAATCTGTAGCGAGACCATTAACGTTTATTCATTCGTCTCCTGGAAAGGGAAGTAAGGGTACATGTCTCAGGGTTCATGTAAGTGTCACAGAATCTGTGTCCCAGTCACAAATGCCATCGTTAGGGACACATACATGAGCCTATGTCATTTCCCTCCCTTCCTTCTTTCTTCCCTCCCTCCCTCTCTTCCTCTCTCCCTCCCTCTCTCCCTCCATCCCTTCCTTTCTTTCTCTTTCTTTTCTTCCACACCTCGAGACCTTTTATAGGGAAGCTCAGACTATAATGGTTCCAAAGAGGTGCTTGAGAATTGACAGTAAAAGCAGTGAAACTAAAAAGAAAAGAAATCAGTTTAATGATATTTGCATAAAGAAAGAAAGGAAGATAAGAAACAGGAAACCTTCAGTTTAAGCAAGGCCTTTTGCCAGGTTTAGTAAGTAACTTCCAGTTGCCGATGAAGCTGCTGAGCTAGTTGGAGTTAGCTCTGCTTTTTGTTCATGTGTTGAATAAATTTATTTTGAATCTTTATTTTTAATTTTTGGAGATGTGTATTTAATAAAGTCAATGAACAGATAGGCAGTGGTATTTAGGTATTATAATATTTTTAAGTTAAATGTTTATTTAGAATAAAATTCTGTAACTTTTACTTTCAAAAGACAGACTTGAATTCTAAGAAAACAATTTAATAGGATAAGGAACGATATTTAAGGTAAACATCCCAACGAAGGGTATATAACCTTATTTTGAATCTTTATTTTAAGATACCTCAAAATAAAGTGACTCAGCTGATGTAAAATATCTTACAAGTTAGGAAATCTGCGTGTGCCAGAGAACTCAAGATAGTGATGCCCTATAGCCCTAAGCTGTGCAGTGTCTAGTGGATGCTTGCCAAGAAGAGGTGTTTCATGTGATTCCTTTGGAAGAAGAAAGGAGGCTCCAAGATGTAGGAGGTATCTTTAAAAAAATAAGGGTCATACAGTCTGTAGCAGGTCCAGTTTATTGTGTTGGATTACAGTACACAGTTCCCATCCTGTAAATATTGGTGTGTAGATTTGAGCCATTCCCCGGGAGTAGTTTGGTATCACGCTATCTGTGTTACACTACGTTCTTCTGCATATGAATCACAGTATAGCGTGGAATGAAATATTTATCAGAAAGTATTCAAAACACAAGCAGACCCAAAAGCTTATTTTAAATTTGCTGGTGTCTCACAGAGACGGCTGCATTTGGTACTCGGGACCAGAACTTCTTCCCTTGGGTTTCAATAGCTTGGTTAATCATGCTCTTTGTTTTTCTTCGTCATTAAGTTCCAATCCTAAATGACTTTTGGATTCCAGATTACAAGGCATTAATTTTGTTCTGATTTTCATGTATGTCAGACAAGCCATGTCCAAATGCTGCTTGTAAGCCATCCCCATTGCCTGTTTCCTTGGTAATTGGAGTGACTGGCCCACACTCATTATTTCTGGGTTGGATTGTTGACACCGCTGTGTCGCCCGAGATAAGGGAAGCTTAGAGATTTCTTTTGTTTAGAGTCAGTCTATTTGCTTGTTGTACCTGAAGGTCAATGACTACTAAAGCAGGGGTGGATTAGACTAAACTATGGAGAGTATAAAGCCAAGAATTGGAAAGGATCCACTGCTGTGCTCCTTAATTCTACTCAGGAGCATCTTAGGAAGATTTACCTGCCTAAGACTGTAAAAATGGGACTAAAATATTATCCATGCTTAGCCAGGTATTAAAGACTCTCTGCAGTGTACTAAACTGCCTGACCCTGGTTCTTAGACAAATCTGTTTTTTTCTTTCTTTCCTTCTGTAAAAATATTAAATGACTGAAAAATTCCTTTTTGTCAGCTCAATAATTTAATTGTTTATAGCCAACTTCACATTAATCTTAATTAATAATGATTTATAGCAATATTTATACTCTCTCATCAAGTTAAATTGAAGTTCAAAGCTACTGAACTTCGATAGTCATTTCAGATTTGTAGATTTGTACTTATATTGTCAAGCAAAACAGCACATCTTAATTGAAATGTAAAGACAAAAGACCAGCTCCTTAGTCTCATTGTCATCAGTGTTGCCATACGCAAACACACAGTTTTCCTTAAGCTTCTTATTTCATTATCTAAAAGAGACTGGTTATATTTTTCACTCAGTACAGTTTAACTTCGGAGCTACTGTTGCCAAACCGTGTCAAAAATCAGTGTACTTTATATGCTGTATTCTCTCTCATATTGGTAGCCGTTTCCAAGACCCAGCTTCTATTTGGTGTTTTATTTTGTTTTCCCTTTGTTTTTAAAGGTTAGACACATCCCTTTGTTTAATCGAACACTCTCATTCTCTGGGCTCAAGGGGAAACACATACATACTCACATAGACACACTTTTAAGTTATAGAATTAATGTATACCAAGACTTTAGCATCTTAAGTGTAAGAAAACAGAGTTGCTGGTTCATCATAACAAATATCCTTTTCATCTGCTTCCCTTTTCTGCACTTATATTTGCTACTTATTAATAACTTGATGTAACTAAAAGTACTCACTCTGGACAGATAGAAGGAATGTGGTGAATGAAAACAATAAAGGAAAAAGAAAAAGCCACGACTGCTCCTAGGTATGGTGGAGGAGAAAGTTTATTATAGGTAAAAGGGAGAACATAGCTAGAGGCAGAGACATCAGGGGAATCCAGAGGGGAGACAGCCCTGAGCCATGTGAGGGGGCTGGAGAAGGGAGAGCCAGAGCAAGAGGCCAGGAGGGTAGACCGAAAATGGGCAGGTAACCAAAATGACTAAATTATACAGAGAAAGGCAGCCCAGCCCCTGGTCTGGAGAAGTTTAGAATGAGGGCGTGTGGTAGCCCAGGAGGGCCCTGTAACAGGGAGAGGAGACTGAGGGATGCAGGGAGAACCTAGTGACCTATGTCCACTTTGATGTGTCAATGTGTCAATGTTTGAGACCTAACATATTGACTGCGCTGTCCACACATTGGCCAACTTTGCCAAGTTCCTTGCGTCCATGGTTTGAGGCTCATCTCATGAGGTTCTTGGGTTAAGATGTGTGAGAAACCACATAAGGCCTTGCTACATAGTATAATGGTAGCTGCCATGATTATTCGTATGTTCCAGGCATGATCTGTGACCTGTGTGAAATGCATTATGTCTTTCATTTTCAAGGTGTGGGAAGTGCAAGAAGTACCTCCAACTGCTTCTAGTTTATTAATGGTACAGTGGTGTGTGTGTGTGTGTGTGTGTGTGTGTGTGTGTGTGTGTGTGTGTG